TGAGTATTCTTTCTGTGGACAGTTAATCACTGTTATACTAATAGTGTTATATGCCGATATTATCGTTCGGCCAAAAATTGATTTGTTAATAATTATTAACCATCCGACAGTTTTTCTGGTAGCAATTTTTAACGATTCCGGTTACTCGGTACTCGGTTCTATGTTGTCGACATGATGGGTGTGTTGGGTAGAAAATTTCGACTAAGTGATCGACTTACGAAAAGACTATCGATCATGACGATGGCAAGGTAAATATTATGCTACATATAATACACATCGATAAAATATTTGCGTACTACTAACAATAATATTCATAGTTGAGCAGTAGTTGTATCATGTTATTCTGTCACCTTACGTGTCAAACATGAGTACAAAGATAGTTACTTGAATTCGCTTTCCGCAACGAGTCATACAAGTATAGTGAAGTAGCTAATAAGATCGTGATCATAGTAAACAGTATATTTTATATGTTGGACAAAAGCGCATTTCAATATTTGTACAACACAATTTATTATAAAGTAGTACACAACATAGCAGTAGCCATATTTGACAGTTACACAATATTATATTAATACGAATGATTAATTTCGTACAACGAAACAGAACACTATTCTACAATAAGTCAAAGAATTGACATTTCAATTTGATTAACTTTTTATTTTACTTTTTTTGCAATCGGTTTTATCACAATTTATAGATACAGATTTTTTTTTTTTTAATTAGGCATATTGTTTATGGTTATCTTATTTTTAATAAAAATCAAAAGACCCGTGAATTATATATTTATTATAGACTAAAAAGAAAATTTGATTGTTTAATTTAACCGTCTTGTTTATATTTAATTGACAATACAAATATAAATACTATCCTTGTATAAATCTACATAAAACTACAAAACCCAAAAATATCTAATTAAATATCGGAAGATTTAATAAATCAATGTAATCTTATACATTTTGAAAGTTAGTAAAAAAAAAAAAAAAAAAAAACCGTGCGTGAAACAAATGCCAACACGGGGGTAGACAAATGAATAAACTCTAAGTTTTTAATGAAGCATCTTAGAGTAAGTATTTTCATTTTAGAAAAAATTATATTTTCATTTATGGTACAAAGTTTGTTAAAAAAATATAAGTTTGATCAAAATAAAATATACTGAACTTTAAAACTTTCTGGTATTTTGTATATTTAGATAAAATCTTACAAGATTAATTTTTTCTAAAATTCACTATAAAACCATAATTTATCAACGAAAAATTTTTAATACGTTAAGTAAAAAACAAATGTTGTTGCTATTAGAAAATAAATTTCATGAATACAATTTTGTTGTAATTTTCGATTATATTAATTTTAATAAATAATTTTAACGATTCAAATAATAAATTCAAACTTTCAATAATATTATTTAAATATTTTTTTTTATATTTGCGTTATCAATACATCACACTAAATAATATGGAATATTTAAATATAAGATGCTACCAAAGTTTGCAGAGTTTAATCCTGCAGTTGTCGTACATTCTAAGTTTTCAGATTTTTGAAGATAAATCTTTTACCCAGAATGTTGTATGTAAAGAAACCTATTTATAGGCTCGATATAAATCAAAAGATTAAAATTGAATGAATTGAACATTTTTATGTGAAAACAAAAACAATTTTATCAACTATCTGATTTCAACAATTTCAAAGTGTAGGTAATTTGTAACTTTAGGCCCATAAGATGGAAAATAAACATTTCAGAAACTTTTGTACTGATACTGATAATATTACAATACATTTAATAATAATATACGTATTTATGAAAAGCCTTTGTTCTTTATTGCCGGTTTCCTTGCATCGACAATACTACCTTAAAAATCAATGTTGTCATTTATTTTACATTGTTAATAAATATATAAAAAAAACTACTTTTTACTCCATGTATATTCATGTACAGTACATTTGACGAAGATAATACATTTTTATTTCAATTTAAGAAGGAAATAAAATAACTTAATATCTTCAAAGTAAATAAAAAAAATAAAATTATCTTTTTTAAAACAAAATGACAAATTATTCTTTCTTCAAATACAATGGGATTATTTCTCTACTAGCAAAATAATAATAAAAATTAGATTTTCCAAATAAAAGCTCAATCCCGTACTTAAATTTATTTATAATTGTGTAGCTTCAATTTCAGACAAAAAAGGTATATTTTTCAATCTATTGTAGATATTTTATAACATGGATTTGTACAAAATAAAACAAACAGAAAAAATATAGAAAAACTAAAGCAATAGACTATTTTGAAATACACTTATAACACTGATAACAACCAGTTCGCTTAGGGCTTTTTAATGAAAGACCTAATTCTGTATATTTTTTTCCGTAGTTGAATCCATAACGAATTTTTAATGATCTATAATCAGTCACATTGTGAATATAAAATATTCAATCAGTTCAAGCTCATTATAAATAAATAAAATAAACGTGATTACAATCGTCATTGTATTTTTTTATTCATGGCAGAATCCACACAAAAGGACAATATTAATTATTAATAATTAATTCCATATTCTCGAGTACGGTCTGAGGAAATAGTTTGGTTGTCATCTTTTTTCTTTTTAATTTATGTACGTTTTTTACTACAATAAGTGTGTAACTAGACATTTATTTAGTATAACTATATTATTATTATGAAGACTACATAACAAAACGTTTGTCCAACATTTATTGCGAAGGCAATATGTTTTTTAATTTTATTATTGACTGTTTTACTTTCCAAGCACAATTGTCCGACTTAAACTTTACTTTTTAAATTTGATTTATAACGCATAAAGTAATGTTGAGTAATGTTCCTGTACATCTAACATTTAACACGAAGTAAACAATTTCCGTAGTGTATTGAACGCAAGTATAAATAATTCTAGTTACCAGTTACGGATTTTGAAGGCGGCCCTCCGTACCCGAACAAAATCACTGAATTCAACAACTAAAAATAAAAATTTAATAAAAATCTGAAAGTTTTTGTTAAACTTGATTTATTTGTTCAAGAAAATATAAAATACGTTTTACCCAATATATCTTTATTAAACGAAAATGTATTTGAGACGATAAAATATCCATTAATAACGATACAATTACTTTTATTGTATATAAATACTCTGTAAGTACTCTTCTTAATAATAAATTAACCAAATACACTTATATCCATCGAATATCTTGACCATATAAAATATAATTAACGAAAGAATTTTACTAAGTTTTGAGTAGCAAATATTAATACATGTTATAGAATAATAATCAAATTACTAATATTGTGTAATCAAAATTAATTTAAATAGATATTCAATTTCATCAAAATTGCATTTTTTATCGCTTGGACAAATTTGTTGCGACTTCCCGGAAAATTTTTTTTATTTTACTTTAAAGAAAATGTTATGAGAGATTCAATGCCTTACTTGTAAGTATTCAAATTGAAAGTTTTACGTAAAAATGTAGCGGATTTTCATGATTTTGTAATTTTGTGAACATTTAATATTCAAACACTCATAAAATATTTATAAACCAACAAAAAGTATATACGAGAAACTTTTTTTTATATTTCCAAGACATTTTTCTAAACTCAAATTATTCTATAGATATTTTAAATATCTATAAATTGCTCAAAATTATAAATCTTTTAAAAATTATACTGCTTATAGCAAATAGTTATGTTTACATGTTAGCATTAGTGAACATTTTAAGTTTCTATGATTATTATTTTCTAAGTTGCGATGAAAATAAAAATTCAATTTTGTAGAAAACCAGTAGACCATAAATTATGCGTTTTTTTTTTGTGATTGATTTTTTGACAATTATTAAAAAAACTGTTGGAAAATACCTAAAATGACCCCTAATACCAACTTAATATTAATTCCTATCTTTTACCCCGATGGTTTTGATGATCCTTCAAATCGAAATCGTATATACAAATAAAAAAAAAAGAAATCGCACACCATGGGTAAAACCAATACATTTATTATTTCGTTCAAAGTATAAAAAAATTAATATTTTTTACTGTATTAATGAATAGCTTTTTTCATAATAAAACAAAATTACATTTTCATACTTATCAAAAACTTACACATAAAAAAAAACAATTAAGTTATTTTAATATTCGCAAAGAAATTCGGAAAATAGCTTTAATCAAAACTTAATTATGTCTTATAATTTCCTACTTAACAGATGCTTAATTACGTCTCATGATCATTATTATTATTATTATTATTATTCTCAATTCTCCAAAGTATACGAGTTATATTCATAAATAACGTTTATTACGTATTTTAATTTAGTAACGTAGTTATTGAAATGATAATTTTTTCTCGAAAAGTGTTAAAAAAAGAAAATAGTACACATCGATATTAAAAAATCAATAGACTTTTAGCCCTGTATGCGAAAACTTTGATGGACTAATTTCTACACGTATTCCATAGCTCGTTTCTCCATTACGACTTAACACGTTCTGTCGTTGTGTGTCACGAGTACATCTTAGATCTCATAGCATCTCAGACAAAAAACGGGAATATCGCATTCATATTTTTGGCTATAAAAATAATAATTTTAATACATACATTTTATGGATAACGTAACGGGGAAAACAAATGTATATGTGTGTGTGAATTGTACACCAGTTGTGTTTATTGTCATTTTTCAATTTTAGCGTACGTATAAATGTGTAATATGTACGCCGACGAGAAAACGAAAAAACTCAATAACATATATTACAATTTTTTTACCCTCTCGGGGTTGGGCACAGGAGTATTGTGCATAGAGATATTGTTATCACGTGCCACGTGCATTTACAGGTCGTTTGAACAACGTGTGTCAAACAACAATAACAATCGAACAAATAGTGAACAATATGCGATGTTTGGCGTGCGCCACACTCGCACTGCAAACACACAAAAGTACAAAACATGTACACGAGCGGATCGGCGAGAACGGAAGATTTCTCGCGAAAAACATTCCAACAATATAAATGATAATAATTACAACAGTTTTATATTTAAAAAATAATAATACACGTTACATAAAATTCGATACAACAAAAACCATATGGTTGTACATGCGCATAGAATATCATATGGACTATCAATAACATGTGTACTTATAACAATTAATATTATTCATTTGCCTGACGTCACGGTTACGCCGGTGGCTATTATTGTTTTTTTCCTGCGCCACGACGTATTCGATGCACGACCATATGAAACGTTATTTTAAACGCCCTGTAGTCTATCACGGTGACGGAAAAAAAAATATTGAAACGTCAAACATGGATCACACGGTACCCCGTCGTCGAACTGCATAATTATCGTTTAAAAGGAAAAAAAACAAAATAAAAAAAAAAAAAACAACCAAGTCCGACGTCTGTGAAATTCGTCGTACCGGTATAATAATTTAACATCGTTAAGAGACGTAACCGTTGTTTCGGGTTACTACCGTTAAGAATGCGTCCACGGTAAACGTTCGATCGGCCGGCGGTGCTGTGATACGGCGATAAGGATTACTGTGGCGCAGAAACTAAAATTGTGTGCAGTACGACACACTTTGTGCGATACGAAATTAAAAAGTGAGTTTTGGTTCTATTCTCTTACTATGGCATTTGTTTTTAATTTTACATTTTTTTTTAAATGTAAAATCTAAAATACCAACTATTTTAACCGTGTTACTCGTTACTGTTAACGTTTGAAAATAGAGTGTGTCAAAATCCTTGAGGGTGCAGTACGAAAAACGATATATATTAGCCTCTGCGGTGGCGAAGTGGTTAAACGTTAGCGGTGTTTCGTCCGACGGGTGGGTCTGTGCTGCACGCACGCGGACGGGACGCCGGTTCGATTTGGAACCGAACCCGCGATTACGGGACATTGGGGGTAGGAGGGTAGGGGTTCAATGGCCGTTTTTGCCTTTGGGTGCGTCGGTGAACGGCACCACGTGCGTCTCGCTCAGGTTGGTGCTGTCGACGGACGCGTCGTTGTACTCGGTGCTGTAGCCGCCCCGGAGCAGTTCACCGACCTCCGTCTCGCCGGAGGTGGAGTAGTCGACGGCCGCGGCGGCTTCGGACGTCGCTTCCCGTTGTCCGGCCGACGTCGTCACGTCGTCACCGCCGCCGTCGTCCACCACTTCCTCCGCGGACGACGTCGGCGACGGCTGACTGGACGACGACGGCGACGACTTAGTGGTCACCGAAAGGGCGGACGGCGACTGGTTTTCCCGGCCGTATCGCCTGTGCAGGTACCCGCCGGAAGAATCGACGCTGCTGCTGCCGCCGCCGCCGAATTCTTCGCCCGGGGACGGCAACACGCCGCTTTGGCCGGACCCGTAATCGCCAGCGCCGGCCGAATGCGACTCCTCGCGGTTCTTGTACTTGATGAAGTACACCTCGGGTTTGAGTGGCTGCGTGACCGGCGGCGCCGGTACGTGTATGGGTGGCATCTCTTCCGGTTTGGGGTGCAGCACGTAGATGAGCGTCTTGTCTGAGTGCTGCGGTGGTGGCGGTATGATAGGCGCGATCGGCGACGGCGGCGTGGGCGCCTTGATGAACACGATTTGATAGTTCTTCTTGGGCGGCACGTTGGGCATGATCACGCGCTGTTTTCGGGGTGGTTCGTCGTCAGGCGGCGCCACGTGCACGTAAATGGACTTGTGTATGACGGGCGCTTGCTGCTGCTGCTGCTGCTGCTGTTGCTGGTGATGGAAGTCGTATCCGCCGCCATTGATCGACGGGTAACCTAAACCGGCGGACGGCGAGTCGTGGTCGAAACCGGTCGGGTCAAACGACATCTGACCGCTGGACCCTTCGTCGAACAACGGAGACGGGGACGAGTGGAGCTGCTGCGGCAGGGCGGAGAACGACGGTGGGTGGTGCTGGGGCGAGGAAGAGAACGGGGCCGAAGACGATGGGACGGATGGAGAAACGGGTGAACGGAACCCGGTGGACGGAACGAAGTCGGTGAACTCATTCTTGTCGAAATTGACGTTCTCACCACCGCTGCCGCTACCGCCACTAACACCACCGACGCCACCTCCACCTGTTTGGTAGAAACTTTCCGACTGTTCAACGTATCCACCACCACCGCCGCCACCCCCGTTAACGCTTCCGCCCGGGGATGTGGGCCCGAACCCGAAGTGTTCCGCCGCGGGACCTTGGCTCTGCTGTTGGTGGTGGTACTGCTGCTGCTGCTGCTGCTGCTGCTGCTGCTGGTGGTGCTGCTGGTTCTGCTGCTGGTGCTGCGGTTGGTACTGGTGCTGGTTCTGCGGCTGGCTCTGCTTTTGGAGCTGCGGCTGCATGAAGTACGGTCTGCCGATGGGTATATCCAGACCCAGGTCCGTAGTGCTAATCGGCACGATGAAACGCTTCAGAGGCCGGCTGCTCTTGAACGTTCCGCTCTCGCCGATACCGTGATCGACGTGCGTCGCCTCCAGAGTGCTTTCATCGTCGAACAGTGACCGCAGCCTGGTCTCCTCATACGAAGCGTCCAACGTTTCCTCTTCTGCCGACGACGCACCGCAACTGATGAACAGCACCGCGAAACAAACGGTGAACAGCTGTCGTCGATGGAACAAACAAACAAAAAAAAAAAAATCGCACGCGCGAGATATTATTAAAATACGGTTCCATTGTCCGCGCGTTAGCGGAAAAACAAAGTACATTTTATAAGTCAGGGGTCGGCAACTGGCGGACCGTGGTCCGAATCCGGACCGTGGAAGGCAATATTCTGGATACTGTAAACTTTTATTTTCAAATTCCTTATATTGTAATTTTTAATATAAATGAATTGTAATAACCAAATAATTATTTTTAAAATATAAAGATTTGAAAAAGATTGTTTTCAGTGGACCTTGTTGATTTATTATTTTAATCTTTAGAACTCCAATATAAATTTCTTGCCGAACCCTGGTATACGTAATATTATGCGACACAACAGCAATGCGACGACGGCTGAAATCGGATACGTTTACGTGAACGTTGTAACGAATGCAATAGACAGATTTTGCGTAACCGACGTGTCTCCACTGGTGTTAATGAAACGCTTTTAACGTTCTAAGAAATCGATTCGTAGAGTTCAACGAAATATTTTACTCGCGAATATCTCATTTTTTGATACATTCAATTGGTATCACTTTTAATAACCGTTCAAATCGAAAAACATTATAACGTTTCCGTGTATCACATTGTCTGTTGCATCGTTATTATTATTATTCAACTCGTATAATGCGTACAAAAATAAAATATCCATGAACGCGCATGCGTGTAAATATTTTAGCGACGGTTTACGTTATGTTTTTCCTCTGTATTTTCTCTGATCACGCGCAATACGTGACGGTAACGAACACATTTGGTCGAACTACAGAGATTGACGTGATTAGAAACCGCAGTGTTCATCCGTCGCCACATAATTTCGTATTATAAATTCGCTGAAGTAACGGTAAGATGTAAATATTTTATTTTTGATGTATGCAATTACTTCGAAAATAAATCCCGACACGGAGGAATTCGCTAACGGAACTTGAAAAATATTTTTCCCAATGATACGATATAACTCACATCTATTTTAAATGTTTCACCCTGTCTCGGGGATTTAAAAAAACGCCTGCCAGATTAGATTAACGAAAAAAAAAATTTGAAATATATTTGTTTTTTCCCTAGTGATTTCTTTTTTTTTTTTTTTGTAAGCGTAGGTTGCTTTTGGTTGATATAAATCGTCGAATATGTATTCGAAATAATAATACAATTTGTAAAGGAAACGTCATGTAAACTGTTCTTAAACAATTTATCTAATGTGATTTTTAGAAAATATATGTCAAACAATAATGTCAATATAAATACGAATAGAGGAACGTGATGAATTTTTCAATATTGTTTAGAACGTAAAAACAAAACTGGAACGAGTTGCGCTGACAACATCCCCATTGTTGAAAACGCTAGGACAATTTCTTTACCACGGAGCTTTTTTTCCCAATCACCGAAAACGAGGGTATTTTTATTTTTTCCCGCTATATTCACTGTATTCGATTCTTCGATGTATTGTGCTGTTGCGGATTCTATATAAAATGAGGAAAAAGACCAAAGTCATCCCTTGCAATACAAAAATGTGTTTTGGTGTTTCGGTAATATTTGCCGTCTTTTAAAAGCCAAAACGTAAAGCGCGCAATTTTTTTCGAGAATTTCGAGTTCATCCACCGGAAAAATGTCCGTCTCTCCCTTGGGACACGAATGATGATAAAAATAAAAGAAAACCCATTCTTACCGAGTAATAATACTTGATGCCCATTTGTGCCGGGTTTCACGACGAGTATAATATAATGTAATAGTTGGCGTTTTCCACCGCGTGAAACATGTCCGAACTTGTGACCACCGTAAACATAACAAAACTAAACGTGAGACACAACAGCGTGAACCGCAAGAACCGCGCAGGCTACTGACTTTTCCTTTCGTGGAAAACGCGCGTAGAAGGAGAAACACGTGACCCGATGGTGGGCAGGAACGCAAGAAGACAATACACAATTGTAGGAAGACCGCACGAGGAGAAGGAGAAACAGACTTTCCTTAACGGTCCTGGGGGAGTATTGGCGCATGATAAGTGCATTTTATTTTCTTATTATTTTTTTTCCTACCGAATTACGATCGTGCCGTATACCGCCGACGAGGAAAATGATTCAAATCAGAATGTTACACGCTAATCATTTTTTTTTCTTTCTTGATGTGCTATTGAACTGGTTTTTATCAATTATATATTGCATCAAACGTTATGAAATATTGGACGAGGCTTCGGTTTAACGATGAAATCATCTACTGTTATACGTACGAGTATACTATAAGTGTATACGAAACGTCTACGTCTGCCAATGTTATTACATCAAATTTTTTTTTTTTTTTGCAGGTAAAACATTGTGGGTTCCAGTGACAGCTTACGTTTGCAGTACACCCGATTTACGAGTGATTATCGTTAGTCATTATATTTTATATAAAAAATGAAAACGTCGATGGCAAAATGTCAAATTTTCTTTTTTTTTTTTTTTGTTCTTCCATTACTACGTTAAGATAATAATACAAGTAAATTATATGATGACCGGCGTGACCCATCGGATGTTATGTGTTGTACTGTATCAAACGATGTTCGCACCGTAGACATTTTTATCCGAGCATAAAATAACCGTTATTGTATCTGGACAATTTTATCACGAAGAAAAAATTGTACACTTCTGAATCGACACTCTCAAACATGTAGTTTTGTAAATAAATAGATCTGTAAATCGGTTCAATGGGATAAAAATCATATCGGAAGACCGTCTTTTGGATGATTCGTGTTAATTCGTTAAAACGCCATTAAGGCAAAGGCGTTTGTGTGTAATGGCACGGATCCAAAACGCGTCAACACACCCTTTCACCGCGGCCCTTTTCGAAGTTTTCCGAATTTGTTCTTCTCCAATGATTTTCCATAATAATTTTACTCGGAACTAATAAAAAAACAACAACGGTCTATTCATTCTATTGAACGTAACACCCGCGGAGAAAGAATATAATTTGAACGTTAATTGTTGAAACCCGATACGCATTCTTACAATACGGGAGGTGTAAATTAAAACATTCTTAGACATTTACGTTACTGCAGTGGAAACACATTGCTGTAACGATCCTTTACTTCATTTTTTTTCGCCCAAACTCTACTTATATAGCAGTACGGGAAAATATGCATACCGTACTACAACATACATATTATAACATGGTCTATTACGATGAAAAACACTTAGAGATTTGCTTTGTTGACATTAATTTATGATTTATTATTGTTTTTAATATACTCGTATTATAGTACTATAGTGTTAGTTAGTGTACTATATGTTAACATAATATTTTACGGTCTAACATATTCATTCTAGATTAACTGCTAAAAATAAAACGCCACACTTTGTCTACGATTACTATATATATTCATAGGGTAAATTAGTATTTGGCAATAATCAAGTGCAGAAATCATTAAACGAACGAATAAAACAAATAACAATAAGTCGAATTAATTAACCGTTGAGATTTACAAACACAGTGAATGGAAATTTTACAATTATTTTATGTTATCAGAATATTTCAAAATAAAATTAAAATAAACCTTCGAAGTTCTTTATTATTTTGGGCCGACTTCATGGCACTTATGACTTTTTAAGAAAGAAATTAATTTATTTCCATATATCAAATTTGTATTGCACTAAAAAAACACATGAAAAATACTATTTTGTGTAAATAAATCAGTGAAGATTTGGTGAAACCAACATTTTGTTATGTCACATTTTACCACAAGAGGTTATTTTTAAATATAATAAATACTATTTCATACAACGTATTTAATTAAGTTTAAAAAAATAAACAATCTTAGTCGACCGGGGGTACCAACTATTTTAGCTGAAAAATTTAAATAACATCGTTCATTTAAGCGCAATATTTTATAAATTAAATATTTATTTATAAATTATAATATTACAATTGATTTGGTCTATAAGTAATTCAAATTACACTCATCCAAAATCGAATGATATTTTTAATATGACTTAATTTTTCTTCCTAGAATGGAGTGTTAAGTCTTTATCGTACAACTGCACATTTATAATAACTGGTTAATGATAAAATATTCATCATTGCTATATATTTCATTACTCTTCCTACACTTTACTTTTATCTGAATATCGATAAATATCAACATTTAGTGTTATAAACTTAAATTTTAAATTAAATTAAAATATTACTTATTTATTCTAGGAAATAAAATAATTTAATTAAACGGGTGAAATACGTTTTTTCTGTATTTTCAAAATAAATCATTACAAATAAATGTTAATGCATTTAAGTATTCTAAATAATTATAAAGAAATATAGCAATTAATTAAGTTTGTGTAGATCAATCAAACACATTGATTGTACTTACAAATATTTTTTGTTGAATTAAATATTGGAAAAAATAAATGTATTCACTTTTATATATACCAGGTACATTTGAAGATATTAAATTCTTGACGAGCAATAGTTTTTCATAAAACAAATTGTATAATTGTACATAATTTTGAAAAATATAATTTATATTCCCTTCCGTCAAGATAAAACATATTATTTACTTCAAAAACATTTTTAAATTGGTTTACTTACGTAACGTATATGTAACGAGTATAACAAACGCTATAGAGAAAAACTAATAACATTCAATTAATCACAATACGCCTGCTGTGACGAAAACGATTTGTGTAATGCAATAATATGCATAAAATCGCTATGGACGAAACTATGGCCTGGACCAGATAAGCCCGTATGTCCTAATCTCATACTGACACTCGATAGAAAAAAGTTCAGAGTAAAAATTGTAATCAATTATTTTTATTAAGTGGGTGGTAAAAAAAAATCCTTTTTTAAATATTTTTACAAACTCGGACAAATGGAAACTTGCAAACGTTGTCCATTCAACCGCTAGCCAAGACCGTTCAGATAATCATATTTTACCGTATAATATGGAACAAATAACTAAAAGCATAAATGTCGATAAAATAGTCGAATAACTCAAAAAGTTAATGCCGTTTGTTTTTATAAGTTCCGTCCTCGCGATACATATTCGACCGCATCCGCGTACATTTTAAATTGTTTATTTTTTATTCTGGTATATTTTTCTGGTATTTTTATCTGGTATTTTACATAAAAGACCCAAAAATAAAAGCTGATGCGTTCATAGATAATCAACAATTATTAAAACAAGTAAAGGAAATTGTACAACTAAGTAGCAAAATCATATTTGATGATAAAAGCACCCGATAACCTAAACAATGTACAGAGTTAGCACGAACTGCCTTTAGCACGAAATATAAATTGTCCATATCAAAAAGGTTACATCTCAATATCGAAAAAAGAATTATTAAGATACGTGTAATGGAGCGTTGCAACGTATGGATGTGAAACGTGGATAATAAATTATGCTGAAAAAAAACTAGAAGCTTTTGGGATGTGGTGCTGGAGACTTACAGTAAGGATAATCTGGATAGAACGGGTGGGGGGGGGAGAGACGTAAAAGTTCTTAGGATTGTGGGAGAAAATCGTACGTTCATAGATACACAATTAGAGCAAAGCATTGGAAAATGATTAGACATGCCCTAAGACACCCAGAAGAGCCGCATATTATAATATTAGAAGGTATGAAAAAAGAAAATAAAACTGCAGGACGACCTCGGAGCTCTTATATAGGACAAATTAAACGTGATGCAAGAGTCAAAATCTATAAGGAGCTTAAATAAAAGGTGAGCAGTCGGTCAGAATGGAAGATTAGAGTTGTAAACCAACCTTCGGGTTAAAAAAAAAAAACGACTATTATGAGATAGACTTGAGCTTATTACATCGAGTTATACGTATTTGTACAGTTTCACCTGTTTATTTATATGATAATCATTGTGTAAGATACATGGTTCACGAATCCGATAAAAAAAAACGTATTGAACGCAAGCGTACTACGATTATAACTACAAAATACATAACAAAATCACTTTAAATGCGTATTATGCGTTTAAGTGAAAAAAACGTCTAGAATGTTGTCGTTCATTCTAACGCGGCAATACGATTTTCACGGTTTCCTATATTATTATTATTGTTGTTGTTGCTGTTGTTATTATTATTGTATTATAATATATGAATGGATCGTGATTTGTGTGTGCACGTTTAACGTACGCAGAATGACGATTTTTATGTACATATCGAGAACCGTGTAGGAGCACGTTATTCCACGTCACATTAATTCAAATTACTAGAACATGGCTTCTGAAACTTTTATAAACACTGTACCCCTTTTAATCAATAAACCTTTTTGGGTATCCATTCTTAGTTAGTAAATTAAAATAAATATAAAGAAGTTTAAAAACGTACATACATTTTTATTTCATTGAAACAAAAAATATTAAAAAAAGCTTACTTTCAATAAAATTAGTGAGAAGAATGACCTCGTTTTTATTGGCACAGTTGATATAGGGTTATAATATATAGGGTTATAATTTAGTTGAATACAATCTTAAATCATCTTCAACATATAATTCGTTTCTATATTTACTATTAACATGAATTAAACTTAAATAACCATTTTCCAGATCAATTATTTAAATTTAAATGTTTGTGGACCAAACTCGTGCCGCCAAAAAATCTTGAGTACCCCCAAGGGGTACGCGTACCACAGTTTGATAAACACTGTACTAGAAAACTAAACGAGTTCGTCGTACGTTACGAACTCTATCGCATGCATACCCGTCGATGTTTTGCGTACTGACTTTTAGTAAAATTCTTGAACCCCCAAAAATCACATGAAAAAAAAATATAGTAAAAATGTCCAATCCTGCTCGACGAATATTGAACGAGTGCGATCAGCCCGATTGTATATGTACATTTACGTATTATGTAAAATTGCATTTATGCAACGTATGCCGCGCGCTCGAATTGTGTACCTGCGGTGCAACAAATATAGTATGATCATACAACGATACAAATTAATGTCGACACGTTCCGACTGTAATAGCTTACATGTACGAGTGTGTTGTAACGGAAATCTCGGAATCCAACCGAGATGATTGAACTATCAGTCATCCTTTTACTTTGAATACTTTTACAACGGTGAATACTTTTGAGATGATGTGTGAAAAACGCATATTGCAATGTTACATGGTCGTGTAATAAACCGGGAGTTAAGACACCCTTATTGATCCACGTGCGGTTCCGGAAAGGCAATTATTATTATTACAGTAAACGAACACAAACACGTATCATGGTCACCGTCGACGACTGCGTTTCGAACTTTGTTTATCGGGCGAGTGCAGGACGCGTGACTCGCTTGGTCTCGGAACAACTTGCATAGAGGTAGCACGTGCTACTTAGTAATTAGTGGCGTAGCTATAAGCCGAGATTTTGAAGGCATAGTTGTCCCTCTCTCCCGTTAT